GCAATAAATTACGCATCAAGTACATTTTGTTACAATTATTAACAAATTAGTTTCTTAAACTATTTTTAACTTTTCAAATTAAACTTTTAATATAGGCAGATTTAGCATTTATAATAAGTACCAAATATGCTAAAATACTTTTGTTTATTCGTCTACAAGTTGACATTTGCTTTGGTAGTGCAAAATATGTTGTTTTTATTGCAGTTCCATACAAAATACATAAACTGCACAAATTTTTCAACTCAATTACCAAATAACTGAAAGTGCTCATCAGTATTTTTTTTTAAACAGATTTAAAAGTTTAGAAATTTTTGGCAACATAGACATTTTTAAGAAAGACGACAATTATCGAAACTAAACTGTTCGGTCTAAATGTTGCAGTCTCTTAATGAAGCCAAATAAGCACAACGTTAGTTTTAATTGTCACATTTGTATACAGTTTAATTTAATTTAAAAATTGAAAACAACAATAGCTGAAAAAATCAAGATTATAAAGTTTAATTTTTAAAATTTTTATAGACAATCATTAAAAAGTTGAGTTTTTCAACTCTGAAAAGTGTGAAAATAAGAGGAGAACTAAAAAAATAACAAAAATTGCAATTTTTGTTTTTAAATAACACCTAAAAGCTCAAATATTAAACTTATTAATGTGAAAATTTTTGCAATTACAACCCTAAGCAAAAAAAACGTTTTTTTTTCGATTACAAGTGTAGGCTACAGAGCAAAAAAAGTGAGACAAAATTGGCTGTTAGCTGAACAGCTCTGTACATTCTTAGTATGAAGACTAAGTGCATTTTAACCTTAGAAAACTCTTTTGTGACAGATACCAAAAATATTTGAATTTTTATACAGTAAACAGGTGAAATGCTGTTTATCAAATAACAGTGTCATTAGTGATAACATTTTGTTAAGTTATCAGATAAACATCTAAAAATCAACAAGTTTATGGTCAAATTATTGAACTTAAAGATAACAAAGTAAGATATTATATTGGTAAAGTAAAGCTGTTTTTGGATTCTAATCTATGTTTGTGTTTTCTACAGCATTTATCTGCAGTCTTAATGTGAATGAATATATCACTTCGATATATCACTTCAGATATATTGGATAATTGTATAAAAAGTGCAGAAATGTATCTGACAAAAAAAAAAATGACTTGCTGTTAAACCTTCACAACTTTTGTGTTTTTTTTTCCAACAAAAAGTTAAATATTTCACTTTTTTTTTAGCTCTCAACACTTGATTTAGAAGTATACCAAAAAAGCTAAGAAGACAGTTTATTTATCTATTCAATTGAAAATGTAAAAGAAATAAAAGATAATATGTTCGGTAAGATGGTCTATTTTATAAGGTTGAAAAAAAAAACAGTGTACCAGAAAAAGCTTAATTTTTTTCCTTATAATTTTGTCGTCTTTTTTTTTTGTTTAATCAATGAACTGCACAGATTAAGCAAAAATTTGATCATAAATAAATTATTTCAATCAAAATTTAGACAAAACAAGCCTTGCATATTTTTAAGGCCATCTAAGTTCAGAGCTCTGGAAAGCCATCACATATGTCAAATTTTATTTTT